TTTTTTTTTGGAGAGATTTTCACTGTAGGGCGAGTGCGCTCGCCAGACAGACAGAGAGAGACATAGAGACAGAAAGCGAGAAATCACCCCCCAGGGGGGATGGTCACGCCGCAATCCCTTTTCCTCCATTCTCCTCTCAGGATCTTGGGCACGCACGCACACGCGCCCGGCGTGAGTTTTAAGCCACCGGGTCCGGGACATGAACCGCGGTTGACTACGTGGGAGTCCAGCGACATAGCCATTACGCTAACTGCTGGTTCCCTGGACGGACTCATTTTTCACCAAAGTCCCTTCTTAAGCCTTGGTGCCTGAAGAAGCTAAGCCAATTCCCCTGGTGTCCTCAGGTGTGGCCCCTTCCTGGTTAGGCCCAAGATTTTCCCCTCCACCTGACTCAGGTTTATTCATAGCTGTGGCCCAGCTCCATACAGGCCCTCTTCTCTCTGCTGCCCAGCTGCCCAGCAGAGCCCGAGTCCTAGCCCAGGGCTGGGGCCTCCAGGGAAAATGTGGATGTTCCCAGGGGTGACCATGGCCAGAGCCCTCACCGATAGACCAGTGCCAGGATGTTCAGCATGGTGGCCACATCAGGATGGTCGTGGCCTGATGTCTTCTCTAGGTCCTCCAGCGCCTGCTTGCAGAGTGGCACAGCCACCTCATAGCGGCCCTGCGAGGCGTACTGGATCACAAGGTTGTGCAGGGTGCGGAGTCGGGCTGGGATTTCATAGCCCCCATGCTGGGCAGCTACGTCTCCTCCTCCAGGGCTGGGGGCTGTAGGGCCAAGGGTAGGAGGTCAGGTGTGCCATCTGCCAGCTGGACTGGCCTGACATGCTTTGGAGTCATCTGACACATAGTCCTGGGAACTTGAACTATTCTGCCTCAGTTTCCCCACTTAGAGTGGTTTTAGTTACCCTATAAAATGTCTGGGTAGAGCCTTCACTCGTACTTCAATCTGTGTGTCCTAGAGCAAGCCACCGAGCTCTGAGCCTCTGCTTCCGCATCTGCAGAGTAAGTGCTTTTATTTTTTTGAGAGGTTTTTGCTACAGGGCGCGTGCGCTTGCGAGGAAGACAGAGAGAAAGAGAGAGAGAGAGAGAGAGAGAGCAAGAAATCACCCCCCAGGGGGGATGGCCACACTGCAATCCCTTCTCCTCCCTTCTCTTCTTGGGATCTTGGGCACTCACGCACGCACTCGTGCCCGAGTTTAAGCCACTGGGTCCGGGACTCAAACCATGGCCAACTACATGGGAGTCCAGTGACATAGCCATTACGCTAACTGTTGGTCCCCAGAGTAGATGCTTTTTTTTGGGGGGAGAGAGATTTTCGCTATAGGGCGTGTGCGCTTGCCAGACAGACAGAGACAGAAAGCAAGAAATCACCCCCCAGGGGGGATGGCCACACTGCAATCCCTTCTCCTCCCTTCTCTTCTTGGGATCTTGGGCACTCACGCACGCACTCGTGCCCGAGTTTAAGCCACTGGGTCCGGGACTCAAACCATGGCCAACTACATGGGAGTCCAGTGACATAGCCATTACGCTAACTGCTGGTTCCCGCCAGAGTAGATGCTTTTTGATGTATGCTCAGTGTCATGAGCAAGGCAAGCACCAGCTCTTTCAGCCTACACACATCTCAGCGGCTCAGAGAGGAAAGAAACTCTCCCAGTAGTCACAGAATGGCAGAGCAGGGATTGAACCCCAGCCTGGCTCTGCACTCTGTACAGCCTTGTGATCCAGTAATGGAAAACTGACCATTAAGCTCTAACATACTGGGACAGTATGACCAGAAACAAGACAGGAAACAACACAGCAGTCACTTCCTGTAATCTCTGAGTCCCAAGGACCAGGGATCATATAACCCCACCTGTCCTCACCCCAGAACCAACTGCCCATCCGCACCTGGGCTCTGCTCGTCTTCATTGGGGAACAGGTCATCCAGCGAGTCTTTGGGGACATCCCCTTTCTCCTCCTGGAGAGGAAGACAGGACAAGCGTCAGGGAAAAAAAATCAGGGAGTGTCAGTGGGTCAGGTTAAGGCTGAGTCTGCTCCATGCTGGCCCCTGCCTGCTCCCATGCCCCCTCCTGGGCAACAGCAGCTGTGATCGGGGCTCACACTGGGGGAGGTATCTTCATCCAACTTGCGGATCTGGCTCATGAACAGCAGGTGCTGCTTCTCCTCCTCAAGCTGGGCCACTGCCTGCTCACTGCGCTGCAGCTTCTGCTGTGTCCCCGCAAGTTCCTCGCGCAACCACTGGTTCTCCTGCACCAGGCGCCGCACCTGAGCCCGCAGCTTCTGCTTCTCCGACTCTACAGCTCCCAGGTGGCTCGACAGTGCCAGGATCACCTGTGTAGCGTCAGAGTGAGGGTGAGAGCCCTGTCCACACCCTAGCCTAGGACTCCAGTCTGAGCCTCCTGGGCTCTGAGGTCCAGTAAGGAGCTGCAGGGTCTCAGGCCTTGGAATTCTCTCCTCCTGGAGAGATTCTCCCAAGGCTCCAAGCAGACTGCAGTCTAAGGCCTAAACCCAGAAGGCTTAGGGATCCCCGATTCCTTCTTTCTGGAGTCAGAAGGACCCCAGAAGAGGGCTAGTTGGGTCCTATGCTTTCTCTAGACTGCAGACTCCTCCTTTACCTCTCCTGGGGGTTGTACTCATGCCCCTGCAGCCACAGCCACTATACCACTGCTCCCAGCCCCGGGGCTAGCACTTGCCCAAGGAACCCTGATTGGTAGTCTGAAGGTCACTGACATTTGCCATGGGTCCATGGCACCTCTTGCCTTTCTGTAGTTCCAGGCAGGAAAAGAATATGTCTCTCAAACCCCCAGATGCTCTGGGGAACCACAGGGACAGGTAAGGGGATTTAGAGGCCTCTGCTTTAACCTCTATCCCTTTACCTAACCTCTGTGACTCCTTCCCTGAGCTTCTAGGCTCTTTCTGCCTTGGTCTATGTTCCACCCTCCTTCCTTCATCCTTCATGGTCCAGGGTCATATCTGCACTGAAGCCTCTTCCCAGGCATGCCTTTCCCTCTGCTCCAGCTCCACACATGGTCTCACTGCCTGAACCCTCTGCACTCCCAGAGACTTCTTGATTTCCTGTTTCCCATCATGAGGGTGCCTGTGCACCCCAGGAGTGGGGCCCCTGTGTGGTCACCTCTGTACCTGTCAGCCAACTGGTGGATGAGTGAATCGCCAACAAATTGCCCTTCAGAGTGCCAGGTAGTCTGGACCAAGCGCTTTCTAACTGGTTAGTAAACGTTCAAGTGACAGGTGTTTTTATAGCTACTAGCTTTTAAAAAACTCCCTAAACAGCCTGGAAGTAGATACAGCAGATGGCATGAATCCTATTTTAAAGACAAGGAAACCAAGATGATACAACCTGCCCAGGATTCACAGAGCTAGACAACAGCTCGGCCAACATCTAGGGGAACAAACCCTTTTCCATCCAATCCTTATATATCCCAGTGCCTCCTGGACACCTCTGCTCGACATCCTGGTAAACCCACTTTAAGAGGGCAAAACAGAACTCCTAACTCATGCTGGTTCTCAGCCTAGAACTCCCCTTACCACAGACCTGGGAGTTATGCTGCATTCCTTTCACCCTTACTCCAGCTCCAGGTCCTACTGGGCCTGCCTCCAGAAGGTCTAGGAATGGTCCCCTTCTCTTCATCCTTGTGGCCAACTATACCTTTAGCCCAAGTCACCTGTCATTTCACTTCCAGCAGTGGCTTCCTAACCACTTGCTACCTGCTTCCCTCCTTGATCCACTAAGGTCCATTCTCCACATCTCAGTCAGAGAGATTTTTTTAAAACCTAAGTTAGACCACGTCCCCTGCCTGCTTAAAGCCCTCCAAAGGCTTTCTGATTTCCTCAGAATAAAACCCAAACTAACAAGGCATGATCTGGCTCCTGACTTTCCCACAGGCCTCTTTAATGGCTCTCTCCTTCCCCATGAAGATCCAATCGCAGTTCTTTTCTCAATCCCGCACCCCAGGACCTTTCCCACTCAGGGCCTTTGCACATGCAACTTCTCCCTCACCTCCTCCCTTTTCTGGAGGTCGGTTCATTGCTTTCTTCAGGTCTTGGTTTAAATGTCATTTCCTTGGAGAAGTTTTGCCTGACCACTAGATAAGACCCCCTACTATAAACTTACTTTTTTTTAAAAAAAGAATTTCTTTATTTCCATTTATTATTATTATTATTTAATTTGATTAAACAGAGACAGAGACAGGGAGAAAGGGAAAGCGAGAAAGCCGCCAGGTCCGGGACTTGAACTGTGATCAGTCATGTGGGAATCCAGAGCCCCTAACCACCATGCCACTTGCTGCCCCCCTCCCCATAAGCTTTCACACAGCCCTATAACACAGTGGTTAAGTGCTGTGCACAGAGAGCCGGATCCCATATGGCAGACTGCAGTTTGAGTCCTGGCCCTAGCAGCCAAAAAACATGCCAGATGTCCAATATCCTGAAGAGGACAGAGAAATAGAGGAATAAGAATTTTGGCAACCAAACCCCATTGAGGATAATCTTTCCCTCTCCCTCTGGCAATCACACCCCACTCGCTTTATTGCAAGTGCCCTCAGGCAATTTTTTTTTTTTAAAGCTATCACAGATCTTATGCTTCTCTTTGAAGAATCCACCATAATTTGTAACAATTATTTGTGTGTTTCTGTCTCTTTTCCTATGGAACTAGGGCAGGGACCTTGTCTGTAATGCTGAACTGTGTATCCCTGGCACCTAACACATTGCCTGTCATGTAACAGGCACTTGATAACTTATCTGTTAACCAGTGAATAGAAGGATTAGTTGGGGAGGGAGGCGAGGTGTTTCCTTAAGGATTTCTTTTCAGTTTTTCTATGCCATCCAGTCTCTGCTAGGTCAAGGGGGCCAGCAACAGGACTCTGTGTGGGGGCAAAGGTGATCAGGGTCTTCTGGGGTAGAGTGCAGGTCTCCAAAGTACATTTGTTCCTATAACCTACTGGAGACTTAGGGCTTCAAGGACCAGTGGTTCCCTGCTCAGATTCTGTTCCTACATTACCAGAATTCCTTTGGAAGGCTCATCACCTCTGGTAACCTCAACACTGAAGACTGACCTACCTGGGCTTCCCCCAGCCCCAGCTCGATGGCCTCCAGGGAGCGACGCAGGAGGACGCAGCGCTCCTGCGAGCCAGGCTCAGCCTCCACCGCCTCATGTGCGACCAGAGGAGCAAGCAGGGCACGATGCTCCCCTCGCAGGGTCTCCAGTCCCTGGATGACGGCCTTGGTGCCCAGCACGATTTCATCCTGGCTCAGCTTCTCCTCCCGCGGAAGCACCATCGTGGCCATGGTTGTACCGCCTGTAAAGGCGAGGGGCAGGCAGGCGGGCGCGGGGCCTGGAGCCGCACCGCTGTCCGCCCCGTGTTAGGTAAACACCGGCGGTCCCCGGACGCCAGGGTCTCCGGGGTGTGCAGGTCCCCGGGCCCGCAGCCTGCATGGTGCCCCAGCTCCGCCTACAGGGGGCGCGCCCGGCTCGCCTAGGCCGGGAAGACGCAATGCGGTGCGGCCAGTGAGGCTGGACCCTGATTCGGCCCCAGACCACTGGCCTTAGGCGGGTTTAAACCGAGCAGTCTCGGGGTTTTCGCCGAGAACTCCCCTTTCAGTACAGGGAGTGGCAGGAGACGGTACTGCTTGGATCGTGGGGGCCCACTTCATGCGGGAGACCCCGACCCCTCCGGGAAATCCGGCCCCAGCCCCTCAGACAGCTAGCTCCCCAAAAGACAGGCCAGACCTGCGGAGACCCTTGCCCTCCAGGGGCTGAGATCTCGGGCCCCCAGCCCCTCCAGGCCGCGCCCACGACGACCCTTCCCCCGGCCAGCATGACGCACGGCAGACCCCTCTCCAGAAAAGCCCGAGCCCCCGCCCACGAGCACCCGGGAGAGCACCCCCTCCCCGCCTGCCGACCAGGTCCTCCCACAGGCCGCGCCCACGACGACCCCTCCCCTAGGCCGACCCGGAGCTCCCTCCCCTTTAGAGTCTGACCCCTTCTGCTCGATCAGCCCTCGCCGGCCTGCGCCTACTGCT